AAAGCCACTGCTACGCACACATCAAATCCACTAAGGACGTAGCATCCCACAGCGACAAGACAAGCTCGCGCCGTCAGGCCTGCTTGCCGCTCCATCTTTCTGGCGTACCGGCGCTGTCCCCTCAAACGCTTGATCTCAGCACGGACACGAGCCAAGTCGTCCATTGCAGATGTACACACTGCGTGGCGAGGCTGAAGAAACTTTATACACACTGTACAACTGAGCGGGTCTAAGGGCTGCGCGATTCAGTCGCTTTGCGAGCAAATCACGAAGTTGAGCCAAAGCCTACCACTGCAAGGCTGAGCAAAGCACCCGGCACTCCAAGCAATGGCCAATCGAGGCTCCGAGCTGAACAGTTGCAACAGCGACTTTTTGCTTGCGTTGCTTATCAAGAACACGAGGACTCACTTCAGGAAAGCCGTAGACGCTTTCTGCGACACGACAGCAACAATGAATGCATGCGTTCATACCCGTTGGGTAGCAACAAGCTCAAATCAGGGATTGCTGGAGCTTGGGGATATTCCAACCCGAGCTTCTGCAAATCAGCGCTCAAATCCATGCCTGAACCAGCAATGCCGACACTGTGAAACGACCGCTCCCATGTCCTATGCGACAACATGTCTCTGACTGCGTTACCGATCAACTCCATCCAGTGCCGCACGAAAGGTTCTTGCTTGCGTTGCTTGAGCACCCGCAGCTTGCGCTGCAGATGTTGCTTTAGAGGCCCGAATGTACTGACATCTAAAGGCTGAAGTAGCGGCGTCGTGTGAGGCGGCACAAATAGTATCCAATAATACAGCCGTTGACATTCACATATGACTTCTTCGGTGAGGTGTACCCTGCTCGAATCCATAACGACAACTATCTGCTCCGTTCGACTTACCCCAATGGCATCAGAAAGCTCTCGCAAAATGCGAACCATGGTCTTGGAATTAACCCAGGATGATTTTGCACGCCAGTATCTGACTGTTGCCGGAGCCTCTGCCTGAACGCGAGCCAAATGACTCCGAGGAAAGACACGGTGGTTTCCCAACAGAATTTGCGGGAGCCGTTCTTGCCACGATGGTTCGGAGGATGTCATGGCTATCAGTGTCGCTGTACCCCGCGGTCCCTTCCGTGAACCACTGGGCACCTTCCCTGGAGGCCATTGGGACTGTGGCAAACAGAAACCTCGCGCGGCTTTGAGACTTTGTGGAATAGGTGATTCATCCAGGTTCACGAAGACGACATCTCGCCCATGCGACGCAGCCTTGTCGCGCAGGAACACACTCCATGCCCAAAAGCCGGCAACCTGCAGAGCCAGTACACCCACGTGAAAACAAAGCTTGAGGGACCCAAAAACAGGACCCAAAACAGGGACCCAAAACAGGGACCATAAATGCAACCCAGAGCTTGCTAGAGCTTACAGGGTGCCAAAAACAGGACCCTAAATCGGGACCCAAATTTGGGACCCCAAAGAAGCCCCAAAACAAAACCCAATACATGACACAAACAAACGAAGACGTGACCCAGAACCACCGGAGCCCGACATGGGCGTTTGTTTTCCCCACGAAGGGTGACAATCCAATGCGCCATTGCGAACATTGGTTAAGAATAGGTACGACATGACGTAAACTGCTCTGCCCTGAAAACCCCCATACCTGCACAGCCTTCTTGCGTAGATCGTGCTCTGAATCGTGGTGTGGCTTTAAACATCGAAAGCGCAAGTTCCACCGAGCACGGAAGTTAGCAGCCCACCGGCGAGCCCAGCGAGAAGTGTTCGACCGAAGAAAGCTGCCAGGAGCGGCATCATCCAGATCACGCCGAGCAGTCGCGTAGGTGTCCACAACTTCGCGCGATCCAGGAGCAAAGCCCCCATCGAAGTTGCAGTCTTTGATGTGCTGTACAGTTCGATGTTCAGCTATGAAGGCACGCGCCTCTGAACGTATCCTGATTTGCGAAGCTGTCTCAGGGTGCCACAAAGCCAGGATGCTAGCATCAGATGCTTCCAAAAACCAAGTCTCTACAAGGTCTTGGGTGTCAACGTCTGGATCCGAATGAAAACGTGGCTGCTGCTTGACAAAAGCCACTGCTACGCACACATCAAATCCACTAAGGACGTAGCATCCCACAGCGACAAGACAAGCTCGCGCCGTCAGGCCTGCTTGCCGCTCCATCTTTCTGGCGTACCGGTGCTGTCCCCTCAAACGCTTGATCTCAGCACGGACACGAGCCAAGTCGTCCATTGCAGATGTACACACTGCGTGGCGAGGCTGAAGAAACTTTATATACACTGTACAACTGAGCGGGTCTAAGGGCTGCGCGATTCAGTCGCTTTGCGAGCAAATCACGAAGTTGAGCCAAAGCCTACCACTGCAAGGCTGAGCAAAGCACCCGGCACTCCAAGCAATGGCCAATCGAGGCTCCGAGCTGAACACCAGAGGGCCTGCTGTTTTCGCCCGAAGCGACCCAAAACTATGTCTCCCCTTTTGGGGCCAAGTCGTGAGACGCACGAGCGACCACCTCCCGAACACCACCTTCTCTCAAGCTCACACAAAGCGAACGAAAGAGTGAGAAACCAACCTGCCTGGCAAGGCACTTTGTGCCTGCTCAGAGCAGCCACGTGGCCGTAGCAACAACTCCCCTTGCGGAAGAGTTCGGAGCAGGCCAAAACAACAAAGAGCAACAACTGCCAACGTAGCAAAAGGCACTTTGAGCCTTGCTTCCAGGCAGCAGCTTTCACGGAAAAACAACAGCACTAGCAGCTCAGTCGGGGAAGCAACAGCAGTAGCGCACTAGCAGCTCTGTCGCGGAAGCAACAACAGTAGCAGCTCCGTAGCAAAACTTACGGTGTCGCTGCTGCTTTCGCTTTGGCTTTGGCCTTTGCAGCTGCTGCTGCTGCCCTGGCTGCTGTCTGTTCTTGCTTGACTGCCAACACTTGGCCCAGGTCTTCTTCACTGAGTTGGCTGGCTGTCCGTTTAAGGCGCCGCAGGTGCTTTTGCGCACGCTTGATCTCTCGGGTTCTCATGCGCTTCTCCCTTGCGAGACGCGCCCTTTCTGCAACCAAGGCGGCCAACCTTGCTGTCACACTTGGACGCTGACCCCCTTCAGGCTCCATGAACACTCACGAGCAAGAAGGTGTAGGAATGAAGCGAGATCTGCAGCGCAAACTGCTTGGACCAAATGCGCTGCGCAAGTACGATGCTCCAACCGCAGGCCCACAGGAAGAAAGCGAGCACTTACAAGCTCGACACAAGACAACCTCGCAATGCAGACAGGCGAGCGCTTGCACTGAGAAGCAGCTCTTGCACATTTTCCCACATTTGCACAAAGCTCAAACTCCCGATCGCAGCAACGCGCGGCAACCTTTGCTTTCCAACTGTTTGGGTTCACAACTTCGGACTTCAGGTCTTCAGGTCTTCAGCTAGACTCAAGGCCCTGAAGGCGTCCGTCTTACTTGACAGGCAACTACTTGACCCACCTGTGGCTGCAAGGTCACATGCTGTTAGAGGCTATGAACTGGTCTGCAAGGATAGGCCCATAAGACCTTCCGTGTCTTTCAAGTCGGCCACCCGGAGGCGGTTTCAACACTCGCGCATTTTCTGTGAACCTTGTCATTCACAGACTTGCCACTGGACTGCTGGCCTGGTTGCGGTCCATGCCGAGTCGTTGCCGTCCTCGCAGATCCTCCCCTGAAGCGGCTTTTTCTAAACACTCCCTGCCGGATTCTTTCCAAACTCCTTGCTGCAGATTCCCCCCTAAACTCTCCCTTGCACGTCCACTTTTGCAGATTCTCCCTCAAACCCTCCTCGGCACATCCTCGCCTAAACCCTCCCGTCCAGATCCTTCCTAAACTGCTTTGTGTAAACGCCAAACCTTCCCTTGCCCCTCCCTTGGGTAGCTGGATGCCCTCCAAAGCTCAAGCCGGAACAAGCTGCTGGGCAGCTTCATGCCTACATGCGCTCCAAAATTCCTGTTGAAACCACCAAACCAACCTTTGCATGCGCTGGCAGCTGGGCTCTCAGGCTCGCACTCTGCAAGCACTGGGCAGTTGCATGCCTTCCAAGCACAGGTTGGACAGACTCTGCTTGAGCAAGCTGCTACGTACTTGGATCCCAAAGCTCACTGTTGACAAGTTACCTGGCATAAAACTTGCATGCAGCTGACGTCACACTTTGCATACTGCTGGGTAGCTGGACGCCCTCGCAGCTTGAAGCCTACATGCCCTCCAAAAGTCCTCTTGAAGCTACCAAACCAAACTTTGCAGGCGCTGGGCAGCTGGCTGTCCCGCTCCGGCTCGCACTCTCAGGCTCGCACTCTGCAAGCACTGGGCAGTTGGATGCCTTCCGAGCACAGGTTGGACAAAACTCTGCTTGAACAAGCTGGCAAACGACACTCTGCAGGCTGCTGCGTACTTGGATCCCAAAGCTCACTGTTGACAAGTTCCTGGCCTAAAACTTGCATGCAGCTGTCTATTCGGATGCCCTACAGACTCAAACGTGAACAAGCAAACAAAGCATTAATTTTTGGAAGCTACGGGCTAGTCGAAACTTCATACACTGACAAAAACAGACGATACAACACGGGTAAACCGACACAACGAGAGAAAACCGTGTGGGCCGCAACGCTACAAAACCGTCTTCAACACTGGTAAACCGACACAACGAGAGAAACCGCAACACTAGAAAACCGTCTTCAATGACAGCTGGAGAAAGGTTGGATGATGCGACCACGCTGCTCACTGTCCGATCATTGAAGACGTTCTTCTAGTGTTGCTTTTTCTGGGTTGTGCCGCCTTCTAATGTTGTTTTTCTGGGTTGTTGCGCGGCTACGGTGGCTGAGGTTATGTATAGAATCCGTGGACACATGTGATGGAGACCAAAGTCAAGGCTTGCATAAGCGATTCTTTGAGCAACTTGGGTGTCGCTCCTGCAGCTTATCCTGTTCAATGATCAGGCTGCTGGGCGCATGCGGATGTTTGGAATTTGAGAGTTGCAGCAGGCGTCTCTGTTTTGCCTTTTTCACAGCCCCCAGCGCAGATCCTCATCCTCATCCTCCTCAGGCGGCTCGTCTCCTAGCTCTCGCTGCACTGCTGGCAGCCCGGCAGAGACCCAATTCGCATAACATGAAGCGCACGCTTCAATCTTTTCGATGTCCGCAGCCGAAAAAGCGTGGTCAAAGCGAAAATACTGCCAGCGAGCATCCATCATTGCATCTTGTTCCGCCGGAAGCACATTCAACTTCACGGCCTCGCAGTGTGGAATCCGCAGTTTGTTGCCGGATGTAGCAAAGCATCCAGCTGTTCCAGTGTAGACTTTATTGGCAGCAAAGTGATTGCGAGGGAGAGGAACTTCCAAAGCCTGTCCTTCAAGAAGGACGAGGAGAGCATCAAAGGAGAGCTTCAAGGAGTCTACGCGCAGGTCTTGCAGAACCATGATGCGCTTGTCGAAGATGGACTGCAATGGAAAGGAATTTGCCACGCCCACAGGCTTCACGTAGCATTCAGCACCGAACCTCAGATACCCAGGAACCGCACCCTTAGAAACAAGAAGCAAACGTAAACACCACGGTTTCTGTGCCAAGTACAGACTCATATAGTTCACATCAACCAAGTCATCGCGCAGAAAACGATGCATGTGCAGCAGAACCACAGGGCGATGATTGGGTCCACCATGTGTGATTTTCCACAATTCCGCGGGCCGTAGATATAGACATCCTCGCCCTTCCGTCAGACACTTCACGTGCGCGGCACGCATTCCTGCCACAGACGGCTTTTCTTGCAGAACATCTCCACGGAACGCAACTTCTTGCTTGCGCAGCATTTCTTCTGTGAGCGGCACCCAGCGGCCGTGGCAGACACAGGGCTTCTCGCGAGCTGCCAGCACACAGTCCCAATTGGACATGGCATCATGTGCCACCTCGTCTGGCGCATCATGAATTTCCCAAGCGAAGCGTATCTTTTGCTCCAAGTCGCTTTGGTATCTGCACACGTACTGGAAAACGCTTTCGTTGCTTTTCGCCGCAGCCAGCACAGCCTTTCGCGAGTGGAGCTTGGACTCCACCACCCACTTCGCGAAGGCGTGGTGGGACATCATGGCACTCGCAGCTGAAGTGGGTTTGCCGACAAATGCCAGCGCCCGGTCCTGAATTGAGATAGAAACCAAAACATTGCTATTCTCATGTGAGATAGAAACCAAAACATTGCTGTTCTCATGTGGAATTTGATTGACCAAGCGGCTTTGTCGCACCTCCGCGCTCCGCGCGGAGGGTTTGCCAATATGTCGTGAATGCTCTCGTGCTCATCAGATAAGAACGGCTCCCGATCTACAGTCGGCTTCTTCTCCGTTGGAACCGACAAATACAATATGACACCAAAATAATACTCGTGCGCTGAAGAAAAATGCGCGTAGATCCGCTCCTGTCGGAGAGCCTTCTCGAGGCCAAGCGAACTGACCGGACGATCTGAAAGCACCGGAAAATGGTAGTGGCGCTCACCGCTCGCATGCTCTTCTTGGAAGATGCTGTATTTCATCAGCATGATACCCAGCGTTTCCCGAAGAAGCCGCCCCAAGATCGCAGCAAAGTCGCTTTTGGACACTTCAGAAGGTCTTCGCAGTCCATCCTGAGAGGGAGTGGCCCAGACTCCGTGCCAGAGGCGTCGCGTCAGGCGTCGTTCAGGTTGCTCTGCACGACGGGGCTTCTTGGCAGGCCGAGACGAAGAGCTACTCGAGCTGCTCGAGTTGCTGGAGCTCGAGCTTTCTTCCATGGCGCTGCTGTGCTGCTAGCATCACGACATGTGTCTTGCTGTCCATTTGTGTGCTATTGTGAGTTTGCTGCATCGGGCCGACAGTCTTTCGCCGGCTGCTGAACGTCCGAGCAGCGAGACGCTACGGCATGGACCCCTCAGATGGATGGCCACCCTGCGGCACGTCGTCACGATGGTGGAAGATGGTGTTGAACCCACAGTTCAAACTGGGAAATCCACAGGTTCAACCTTTAACGTCGAAGCACCTTGGTGCCACTGAAGCACAGAAGCAACGTTTCCGAATGCGGCGCCTCCATGAGAGACTGCACGAACTGCTCGAATCCTGCATTACAAAGGGCTCATCTATGCTCATCTACTCAAGGACAAATTCGTGACGCGATGCTTTGTTCATCTACTCCATCGGCGACTTGCAAGACAGAAACTACACGCACGCTCGCACCTACTTTACAAGGACGGGACCCACAACCACGCTGGCCCTCAAACGGACATTCTGACTCATGAACACTGACACTGACACTCGCTGACACGAACTTACTGACGCTAACGCTGACTCCCACTCTCTCTCCCCAAGCAGACTCCGTCTGTTTGCCAAAGATCCACAATGTGTGTTCTCTTTGCAGAAACCGTGTGACTCGTGCCACTTTTTGGGAGTGCAAACTTACGAAAACTACAACAGTCACAAGGATTCTGGCATCCAATGTGCAACAACATAAGGAAAACCCCAGGAAAATACTTCTTCTAAAGCGAAAGCGTGTGACAGTTGGCGTTTTTGGCAGGTGATTCTGCCCAAACCCAAGGAAAACACGCGTTCCAAAATAGATTGCCAAAAACGAAAAAAAAAACAACACGACGCTTCAGAAGAGTAAAAGCAATGGCAAATGAAGCATTTTCTATTGTTTGAAGCGTTGTGTTGTTTTTTTCCGGTTTTTTGCAATCTATTTTGGAATGCGTATTTTCCCTGGGTTTTGGCAAAATTGTCTTCCAAAACTGGCAACTGTCACACGGTTTTGCTTTGGAAGAGGCATATTCCCTGCGTTTTGGCACAATTTCATCCTAAAAGTGGCGACAGTCACACGTTTTTCGGTGTCAGAGCCAAAATCAGAGTGAAAAAGGTGGCAAAACCGTATTTTCCAAGCACGCGGATTCAAACCTTTGCGGGCAATTTCATGAAATCCAAAAGCCGCACATTCCCTACCACTGCATTTGGAAAATTGTCTGTCAAGCCTTTCGGGCAAATTATTCTCCTTTTTGACTGTTCTTTCCAGTGTTTAGCAAGTGTTTCACAGCAGTTTTGCATTTCATGCACCGCAATCCAGACATTCCTTACCACTGCATTTGGAAAATTGTGTGTAAAGCCTTTGGCGCATTTTTTCTTCTCCTTGGCTGTTTTTCCAGTGTTTAAGAAGTGTTTCGCGGCAGTTTTGCATTTCATCGGCCACGGCATCAAAAGCCGCACATGCCGTACCACTACATTTGGAAAATTGTCTGTAAAGCTATTCGGACAAATTCTTCTCCTTTCTGACTCGATTTTGTTCCATTATTTAGCAGGTGTTTCACAGCAGCTTTGCATTTCATGCGCCGAAATCCAAAAGCCGCACATTCCCCACCACTGCATTTGGACAATTGTTTCTAAAGCCTTTCGGGCTAATTATTTTTCTTTTTGGCTCTTTTTTCCAGTCTTTAACAACTGTTTCGCAGCAGTTTTGCATTGTATTAGGCCACGATTTAAAACCCGTACATTCCGCACCACTGCATTCGGAAAATTGTCTGTAAAGCCTTTGGCGCATTTTTGCTTCTTCTCGGCTATTTTTTCCAGTGTTTAACAAGCGTTTCGAGGCAGTTTTGCATTTCATTAGGCCACGATTCAAAAACAAAAGCCGTACATTCCGTCCCACTGTATTTGGAAAATTGTCTGTAAAGCCTTCTGGGCTAATTCTTCTTCTTTTTGGCTACTTCTTCCAGTCTTTAACAACTGTTTACAGCAGTTTCGCATTTTATTAGGTAAAGATTTAAAAGCCGCGCAGTCCGTACCACTGCATTTGGAAAATTGTCTGTAAAGCCTTTTGGGCTAATTCTTCTTCTTTTTGGCTATTTCTTCCAGTCTTTAACAACTGTTTTACAGCAGTTTTGCATTTTATTTGGTCAAGATTTCAAAGCCGCGCAGTCCGTACCACTGCATTTGGAAAATTTTCTGTAAAGCCTTTGGCGCATTTTCTTCTTCTTCTTGACTGTTTTTTCCGGTGTTTAAGAACTGTTTCGCGGCAGTGTTGCATTTCATTAGGCCACGGTTCAAAAGCCGCACATCCCATACCACTGCATTTGGAAAATGGTCTTTGAAGCCTGAAGGACAAAATCTTGTTTCTTTGCTTATGGACCACGACTGAAAACCCGCACTCACTCACTGACTCACTCCCTCCCTCCCTCCCTCCCTCACTCACTCACTTGCTCGCTCACTCACTCACCTCACTCACTCAACTCACTCACCTAACTCACCTCGCTCACCTCACTCACAACACTTACCTCACTCACTCAGCACTTCGCAGGCATCTTTCGGGTCCTAACACACATGCTCTTCACTGCAGTGGGAATCTCTTGACGTTCAGAGCACTGGGGCGCGGCACCTTCTTACCATCTGACATTCAGAGCACTGGGCAGAAATCACGGCGGTTCGCTTACTCACGTGAAAGCGGCTAGTACGTAGGGACAGTGGGAATCTCCTGACATTCAGAGCACTGGGGCGCGGCACCTTCTGACCATGCTGCTGGGTAGTTCGATGCCCTGCAAGCTCAAACATGAAAACAAGCAATCAACTGCAGACTGCTGGGTAGTCTCATGCTTCATGCCCTCCGTCAAACTTGCAGGCGCTAGCTGGGCAGTTGGATGCTCAGACTCGCACGTTGCACCGCGGATGCTGGGGTAGTTGGATGCCCTGCTCAAACATGAAAACAAGCAAACAACTGCAGACTGCTGGGTAGTTTGATGCATTCAGAGCACTGGGCAGAAATCACGGCGGCTCGCTCACTCACGTGAAAGCGGATAGTACGTAGGGACTGTGGGAATATCTTGACATTCAGAGCACTGAGGCGCGGCACCTTCTGACCATGCTGATGCTGCGACCTGAAGCGTTACCCTTTACCCGTGCTTGCTTGAATTGCATCACTGTGACATTCAGAGCACTGCAGAAATCACAGCGGCTCGCTCACTCACATGAAAGCGGATAGCCCAGAGCCTCCAAAACCCCTTAATTAAGGAATACCTTAAATTATAATCGGATCCCTAATATGATTGAAGGTACATTCCTTAATTAAGGGGTTTTGGAGGTTCTGAGAGTACGTAGGGGCAGTGGGAATCTCTTGACGTTCAGAGCACTGGGGCGCGGCACCTTCTGACCATCACAATGCTGCGACCTGAAGAGTTACCCGTTACCCCCGCTGTTTGCCCGCGCTTGCTTGAATTGCATCACTGTGACATTCAGAGCCCTGGGCAGAAATCACGGCGGCTCGCTCACTCACGTGAAAGCGGCTACTACGTAGGGACAGTGGGAATCTCTTGACATTCAGAGCACTGGGGCGCGGCACCTTCTGACCATGCTGCTGGGTAGTTGGATGCCCTGCAAGCTCAAACATGAAAACAAGCAATCAACTGCAGACTGCTGGGTAGTCTCATGCTTCATATGCCCTCCGTCAAACTTGGCAGGCGCTAGCTGGGCAGTTGGATGCTCAGACTCGCACGTTGCACCGCGGATGCTGGGGTAGTTGGATGCCCTCCAAGCTCAAACGAACAAGCAATCATTCTGTGAGCTGCTGGGTATTTTGATGCCCTCCAAACCCTGGTCGAAGCTACCAAACGTCAAACTTTGCAGGCAGTGGGCAGCTGGATGCCCTCCACATTCAACCTAGGCTGTGGCGCTCTCAGGGTCGCATTCTGTAAGCGCTGGACAACATTACGTTGCACAAAGTGTCGGTCAGTCCTACCAACACGTGCCGCATCACTACTGTATAATGGCATAACAACGCTCTCGCACCCCGGAGGGTGGACTTGCAGCAAGCACACAAAGCGTGACTGATGCCGTGCGCCGCAGGCACAAATCATACATGTGGGCACGACACAGCTCGGCAACACAACATGCGGAGCCTCTTTCGTGCACATGCTAAAGGGTCAACAGCAAACCATCAAAGTTTTTGCGCCCCTCAAACCTATCGTCTACGCGACTCCACCGCATGGTCTGGCCTGTAAAATGGCTCACTGCACATGGCAAAAAATGCTGCTGATCTCTCTTACTATATGCTGCGCTGCGGACCGGATGCGGGCCCCACTTCTGGAACCTGAAACGGTGGTCATTTCCGGCGAGTGGTATCACACCCCCCACAGTTCTTCAAGGAAGCAGGTCTTATCGCCCTTGTCCAACCTCAGGTCATGGGCCCTTTCGACAATCCACCATGTTCCTTTACGGAGGATCATGGAAACTCGATAAGGGTAGTCCTTGACCTGATAGACAGGTGCAGGAGTACGAAGAGCCTTGGCCCTGTGAGAAACGAGAGCATGCCCGTTCTCATAAGGGAACCAACCTCTTTTCTTACAAGCAACACTGCCCAAGAATCCGAGAAGCTTATCATCAGTCACAGGCCTCCAAGCATAGTCAACCATCTTCTTGGTATCGGTGTTAAAGCACTGAGCGATATCGGGACATGAAAGATAGGATCTCTCCTCCGCACGGTCGGAGGAAGAACGGTTTCCTTCATCGTATGCGTAGCATGTCATGGCATGAAGGGCAACCTCCTTGAGGTAGGCAGGTTCCACCTCAAGAGAGGTGCTTCCTGCTTCAGGTTCCTCCTCCTGAGAGGAGCTTCCTGCCGCAAGGTGGCTCTTGCCCTTCTTGCCTTCTATGCCGTCGTATGCGACATAAGTGCATCGGTCAGCTCTGGTCGGTTCCATGCCTACAGACCTGAGGAATTTGTCCAAACGATTCCACCATCTTCTCGGTGCATCGTTCAGACCAT